AGAACCCATTCCTGTCCCAACAAAGATTCTAGCCATGTGTCCAGTTCTGTTTTGCCTTTCAATTTAATTTAGTTCTATGGATTTTTTTTTTCCTTTTTTGTCTTTTTTACTGACCGGTAATGGGATTGCAACCCTCCGTGTCGCACCCGTACCGGGGACCGGCAATGGGATTGCAACTCTCGGTGTTGCGCCCGCACCACGCTCAACCAGTGAGCAGGAACCGGTCTCCACATGGGATCCGAACCCTCGGTGGGAGCGCCGCTGCGCTCCCAAGCAGCGCACTCTCCAGTGCGCCACCGGGCCGGCCCTCTATGGATTTTTTAAATGGAAAATTTTATGGAAGGCTATAGGTGATACCAATGAAGAAGACAATAAGAAAAGCTGCTACAAATTACAGCTAGATAGGCAAATAAGTTCTAGTGGCATACAGCAGCGCTAGTCATCTACAATTAACAATAATTTATGATCTCAAATGGCTAGAAGAGAGGAGCTTAAATGTTCTCATCACAAAGAAACAAAACCTTTATGATAATGAGTTTGCTAACTACCCTGATTTGATCACTACACTTTGTATACATACATTGAAATATAACTCTGTACCCCGTAAATATGTACACTCAATACATTTCAATTAAAAAATAAATTTAAAAAAAAGAAAAGCTACTAGTTTTATTAAGGAGTCAGGACCTGTACAGATGAAACAGGAAACAACAGAAAAAACACCCAGGTGTTAAAGACAAACTGTAGGTCTGTGGCTGGTCAGAAAAAAGGTGGTCAGTAGAGTTTAATTGCAAAAGGTTTTGCAAAGGAAGTGGGACTCAAGCTGAATGCTGAAGCACTTGGGATTTTTTTTTTTTAATTAGTAACTATTAAGATGCTTTATTTCAGACTAGGTTTTAATCATTCAGTTCCACAAAGGAGGAGTCATGCTTTGTGTTCTTTGGATGTGCAGGAGCTTCAGCGACCTGTATGTTTCATTAAGTAGATGGTTGGGCACTGCAGAGCACAGGGCAGGATCCTAGGGCTCCTCTAATTCTGGTTTAGCATCTGGTTTGCTGTATGACCTTGAGCAAGTCGCTTCCCTCTGAGCCTCAATTTCCTCATCTCTACTGTCGTCTGGATGAGTAAGTAGTTCAACATTAAGTCTGTGTCACAGTTACTTCACAGTGTGTGACATAGACTCTTCTTTCTATTTTGTCTCCACATTTATGTTTCCCAAACAGTCCTCTTCGTTTCTTATTTGTCTTACTAGACTGTGATTCCCAGTTTCAGAGGCTCAGAGTCCAGGGACCACATCTGGTGAGGGTCTTGGTGGTGGCAACAGTGACCCAGGTGTCTCACGTGGCAGAAAAATGGCAGAGCAGAGAGCTGCACTTGAGAGTTGAATAAGCAGATTTGTCTTCCTTTACACATGTTTGAGTCTTCTTAGGCTAAGGACACATTCTTTTCTTTTTAAATGTAGATTCTGGACATGAACTCCTGCCCTATACAGCGTCTGGCCAAGGCTAAGAAAAATGGGGGAAATCTCTCAAAGTCCTCCCTTCTCTTCTGTTATTGTTTCATTGCTTTAGAATAAGTGGATTCATACTCCTGCATTGCTGGCAGCTTTATCCACAGACATCCTTTCGTCTTTCCTCTATGATTAAAGATCATAGATTCTTAGCATCAGAAGGCAGCCCCCTCATCTTACAGTTGGGAAACAGGCTGGAGAGCTGGAAAGACCAGCCCAGAGTTCCACAGTTTGTTGGGGTAAAGCCCAGTCCACTCAGCAACTACACGTGATAAATGGCCTCCAGCCCTGGTAGGTGCTCAAGGGTCATGCTCAGTACAGGCTTGGTTGACACCTGGGAGTTCATAAGGAGTACAAGTGGTCAGGGAAGGGATGAATTGACAGGTGTGGCCCTCAGACTGTCGAAGACTATGATGACAGTGACCGCTCAGTGCTTCTCCAAGTGCCCTTCAGAAGAACCCTTTGTAGGAAAGTGGGAGGAATTTACATCCATTGAACAGTTGGCAGAACCAGGGTACACTTGGATCAAGTGGGTTTCTGAACTTAACATGGTAGGCTTGGAAAAGACCAGAGTCAGACAAATATAAACAGAATC